GAATATGCTGGAATGGATGTTATAAATAAAATAACAGGATGGAGCTGGGGTGAAGGCAAAAATTCTGTGTATGTGAATTTTTGAGGAAGTAGAGAGTGCCAGTTTTTTAACGTTCTGCCATTCATTTTCAGAACATTCTATTGCTCCTAAAATTAACTAGCTCCTTGGAAATTGATATACTTGGAAGAACGGATATGCAGCACCAGGGGACCAAATTTGATGCAGGCACTATAGTCAGCTATTTCCCTCTTAATGCATCTCCAGCTAAATCTTGCTTTCCTAAAATTATATCACCCATAAACCTGCCACTAAAATTACTAATAAATCACCTACTGGATGGCGAGAGAAAAAAACTCTTTCCACTATTATTCTACAGATTAGTGTTTGTGCATGAAAGGGAGGGAGAAGTGGAGGATTGATTGGGATATGCTTGAGAAGCCTAATTGAGTTTTGTTTAACTTGGTTTCCAGGCAGCAAAGTAGTATTTAAGCAAACAGTGGAATTTTGGAGAAGTCTCAGGACTGTTTCTTTCATGTGACTGGAGAAGCTGCACCTGTTGAATGGCTGCCTAGACACATCTCTCCTAGTCCAAAATTGGCTTGAAAGACAAAGGAAAAATGAGGACACATAGACCCTGACTTGTAAAATGATCATAGCATATGAGGCAGAGCAACATCTTCCCAGTTTTATGTGATGTGGATTATAAAATGCCTCTCTTATATTCCAACTCACAGCATGCTATGCTGATACAAAGCCTGTCCGCATTAGTGATGTATCACCAAAGAGAGCTCTAGGCGACATTTAAATTGCTAGTGTGGGTAGCCTATACATTTAGATAGGGTGGTTTTCCTGGACAAAACAGGCGGTAGGGTAGGGTAGGGTAGGGTATGATTCAGTAGAGTAAGGAGAATATTCCCTTTGATTGTGACAGAATATAAAGCTATATTTAAAATAAGGTGCCTAAACAAAAGCAGAAATGCCAGAACCATAAAGAAGGAAAATCCACCTGCTTTAGACACTGCAAGGCACTGGCATCCTAAACTTACAATATGTGGACAGCACACTCACACTTGGCATTTGCCAGTGAGCTGTGCTACTGAATTTCTGTAAACAGCAGAAAGAAAAGGAAGGCCCTGCCTTTACCACGCCACTGCCACGCACCATTAGAACCAAACAGAGTCCTCTGACAAGTCCATCTCACTTGGCAGTGTCCCACCACAACCTCTACAAGAATGTTTTGCGACAAAAGCACAGTTAGCTTCCTAATGTGCAAATCATCTAACGTTTTTCAGCAAAGAAATGGAAGGATTTGAAGAAACTTTCTGAGTTGATCTAAGGGATCTAAGGTTTTTAAGGAAAATAGCTCATCTTGGGAGCCTTTTCTCTCTTCCTGAGTTGGGAGTAAAATGGTGCAGGGGCCACTTAAGATGGGTAGAACCTGCAGTGGGCAGCCACATTGCCACTGACAACAACACTGCAGTGTGTTTCAGTAACACAAGATTAAAAGCCTCAGCAACCTATGTTGTACATATACTGACAAACCATACTGTATTACACCATACAACATTCTATCATCATGATAAACCAATGGTATCTAGAGTCTGCATGAGCTTCACTACCCTTTGCACTTCTTTCCCAATCTATTGCTCCACTGTTTTGAACCTCCATGCAGGGTGCACAGAACGTAGCATGCAGACAAAGTCATCTGAAGGGAGCAACGAAGAAGTTGGTGGGAGCTCAGGGCCAAGCCACCTGCAGGATGATCTTCATTTATATCAACCTACTTGCACTTAATGGAGGCCTTTCATCCACCAACAAGGACACCCAAATGAGCAAGGAAGAGGACTTTTTCCACAATGGCCCCTGACAACTAGTGAATCACTTACCATCCAGCATTATAGCTTCAGGAGAAGTTCTGAGGAGAGGAGGAGGAGGAGGGGGAGTTGTTGTCTTCCTGATTCTGTTCTTGGTTTTAGCTGCAGATCTGGGTTATATTTTAATATTTTCAGCTGAATGTTTCTTTTTATTACTGGTATCTGTTTTATTTGTTACTGAACAACCCTGTGACTTATTGGATCATCCTTTGAAAGGAAGATAATACAGTCTGATGTGACCAGAATAAACATTACATTTTAGGCTGACCATATATATTTTTTTTTACCCCAATGCTGGATGGTCCCATGATCATCTAAGAAGAGTATATATCATAAACAGAAAAATAATTGTAGTAGCAAATGAACTTCAATAATAAGTCAATATTTACTTCCCTAAACAGAGAAACAGAATGACCATGGGCGGGCAAAAAAGCAGTGGGAGCGGGAGCAACTTCTGACTTCCTGTCAGCTTCCCCATTGCTCATGGGAAGCTGGTAGGGAGTGTTGGAAACCACAGCCACATGACCACAGGGATGTTGGAATGACCATAATGTTGCAAATAATACTGGTCTGAACATCATGGAAATTTCAGTTCCACAAGAGTAATGGGTCCTGTTTTTTTAACGCATTCTTTAAGTTGGCAGATTTTAGGTACCTTGATTCAAAAATTGTTGCAGTATAATGCACCATTTGCTCTAACTTGAGGGTACAAACAGATAAACACAATGAGAGTTTTAGCAGTATATAGATTATTGAAAGGATTTTATTGTGAAAGCTGCTTTTGCCCCTAAAGGAAGCTAGAAATACCTTGTAAAATGACAGCAATACAGAAATTCAGTCTACTGTATTCTAGAGTTAGAATCACCTACACAGGCAGCTTTGCTACACTTTCCAATTCCTTGACTTCTGATTGGTTTAACCATGTCTTCCTATAATCAAGATTTTTCCCTATGAAATCTGTCTGTTTTTCAGGTATCAGATACTAATTGTAAAAATGCAGGAAATATTTCTAGGCTTGCAAATGTGATGGAGGCAATCTTTTTCTCTGGCATTCTGGCAGATGAGGCCTTCTTTTGTCTCCACTTTTCATTCTTACTTGGGACGCAGCCAGTTCTCACCAACTTTATTCTCCCTCCCACCGTCTGCCAGAACCTTTTCTCTCTAGCTCTCATACATAACTTGATCCTTTTGTCCCACACCCCAGGTGTAGACAGTTCTCCCAAGCCTGCCTCATACAAATGGAGAATGAAGAATGGGGAATTTGCTCCACTGATTCTCTTCTTTTCCAAATATTCCAAATATTAATTCTTAAGAAATACCTAATTGGTCTTTGAGTGAATGCTAAAAAAAGGTTCAAATTCAGACATACAAGTAGATAGATTCTTTCTGGTACATTTAGTGAACTTTATGTAAAACTGTTGCTCTCCATCTGCTAACACTATGTAAATATTGTCCTCTTGAAGATGGACTCAGAGCGGTCAATTCTCTGTAAGCTATATAAGTTTAGCAAGCTCATTACGAAGCCTCCTACTGTTTATATTCAGAATGAAGATGAGCTGAAAATGCATTCAGAACAGAATATGTTTAGAATTCAATATCAATGCCTTGCCTGGCTTTAGCTTTTTTTAACCCTAACCCCTACTTCTAATACATATGTGGTTCAATACTCTCCAAAGAGGAAGGAACCACATGTTTCAGCCTGAGCACTACAAATAACACTCTTGAAGGATAAAAAATGCCTTGACTTATGGAAGAGGAACATGGAAGTAGGCTTCTCAATTGCACTCCGAAATTAGTTCCTTAGGTGTGGTTTTGCCACATCTCCTGAAGTTTAAATCTTGAAGTCAATGAGTGGAGTCTGAGAGATAATAGCTGGAGCTTTACTGACCAGAGACGGAGACATCTGAGATAGGGACAAGCCTAATGTGACAAGAATGGGGAATCTATGATTCCACCTCCCCAAATTGTTTCTCATCATCCTTTTCCCTTGCCACAATGCTTAGAGAACAGAACAAGCTTATCATCTGATAACACAGGTAAATGCCTTTTAGGAAAGCCTCCAACTAACCGTCCTAGGGCCTCTTTGGCATGTCACCCTAACAGAAAAAGGAGAAGAGATTCATTCTGCTTCTGTCAGATTTGGGCTAATGCCCAAACAACTACCAGATGGCAGCTAAGTCTGTGTTTTCTGAACCTCGTTGCTACCACGAGTTCTGCAACACGGATCTGGTAGTCCAAGATTGGTGGCTCGAGATAAAGCTAGATTGTAACAAACTGAGCCAAGAAATGAAGACTCTCTTATATTCCCTTCCCTTGATGTGGCAGTAACAACTTTAGTCGTACAATAAGAACAAGTGCTGTATTTTGAGGAAAATAAGGAGAGTGTTGTAGATGGCTTTAAGACGTTCAAAGCTAGAATTTTCAAAATGGAAGAGCCTGTTGTCGCAAGACACAGAGATTTACTATCAACAAGGTAACTTTGCAGCTATACAGGGTTTTGATTTATCTGAGACATTTTAAACAATGGAGACAGAGAGTTGCATCCTTTATCCCCTCTCAATATTAAAACAAAAAACATTTGAGATCAGATGTAAGTCGTAGCAGATGTTATGCTATTTCTGACTCTTAAAACATATCATTCGGGGGGAGGGGCATTTCCACACCATCAGCCTAGGAAACAGATGCACTGAGGAAAAAAAGTTATAGTTCAAATGTTAGTTATTTTCATACTCTTTAATATTCACTACAACCTGCTAAAAGAAGAGCAGTGTGCTAAGATTTTAAAGCCAGAAGAGATTTGGAGTGCTCCTCAAAGCATATTTGATGCAGTTTTGTTTATGCAACATTCTGACAGGCACAATTAATCTTGTGAAAACAATGTAGATGTTGCATAATAGCATATTATCTTTAAAGGTACAAACACATTTTTCCTGAGAGAATTAACAATCCATTAAAACATACTCTTAGGATGCAAATGAAGGCTTGCAAAGAACAAGTTTGACGTTCAATACTAGAGAAAAACACAAACACTTATCATCAACATTCTCTAATGAAGTTGCGGGCAGGGAGAGGAAGGTGGGAGAACAGGAACATCTCCAAACAGAATAATGTGCAAAGGGTACGTACCACCTACAAAGGCATCTCCAGCTCCATTGGTGTCAACTATCTCACTTTGGTCACTAATTAAGACTGGGAAAGCTCTTACTTCATTTTCTAAAAGAAAGAAAATTAAAAAAACATGTTTACAACATAATTTGGTCAGATTCTGAATGGCAACTTAGTCAAAAGCAACCATTTCCATGGATGTCTTCAAGGAGAGGCCATGCAGCCCCAAGCCAAGGATGTTTTCATTTTGGACCTGCGCACTGAGCAAGGAGTTGGCTTTGTGGCCTTTCCAGGAGACAACCATTACTATGATACCTAACCAAGACACTAACATTAATTTTCAATCTATCCCAAGTTGAGCATTGATAGCAGGGATGGGAAAACTCCAGTCTTCCAGATGTTTCTGAAATCGGTAAATCTCAGTCAGTATGGCCAATGGTTAGGGGCAAGCAATATGGGGAGAACCACAAGTTCCTTAGTCCAGGAGTTGACAGATGCAAACAAGACACAGAAATGATCTGATGGAGGTTAAAAAAAAGAGAGAGAGAGAGAAGTAGGCAGAATGGCTTTGCACTCTAAAAAATATGCCACTAAATTATATCCAATTTCCTTAAAAAAAAAAGAGAGGAAGAAAAATCTGGATGGTAGGTCCTGTTTGGCATTATAGATTTAATGGAAACATTTTCTAGTTTTGCTTCCACTCTCTTTGCATTTCTGCTCAATTTCTAGAAATTCTTTCAAGGGATTTAAAATTTGAACATACCATTCTTCATCTAACTCATAATGTGTGGGGAAATCAGTTTAGAGTGCTGCAGTCACAGAACAGATACACATTCTTCATAATCAGATATGGTTTTTAAGGGAGTGATGTCATTAACACCTTTTTGATGTGCAAATTATGAAAATTAAAAAGCCTGCATGTCAGGCAACACTCATAGTGCATAAATTACAATAGTAAGATGAAAGAATAAACCTACCGTTATAGGAGATCCAAAAAGCTTTACAACAACTATGTTTATTTTTAAAGTCTAAATAAATAACCAGGATAATGCAATAAGAAACAACAAAAGACACAGTTATCAAAATGTTTATGGAAACTGTGTAAGCAATGTGGATGTGAGGGCTAGACATATCCAGGTCAGATGCAGAGACACTGAGAACAGTCAAGTCCCTTACAATAACCATGTCCAGATGTTGACTGCCCTTCCCACTAAGAAACTGACTCTCAGTCCATTTGGGCGCACAGGCAGGACTT